TTTGGTTTTTACGTTAGCTGTGCACTATCCAGTCACTTTAACGCAGCTTCTTCCGTTATTGGCTGATTAGTGAAGTTTTTCTGTGACTCACCTCAGTAAACGGATCCATTCTGGTTACTTTCTAACAACTCGACTGCAGTTTGAAGTAAAACTACTACAACTGCGTGTACAGAGAACTACGCGACTCCAGCTTCTCTCTTTGTACCAAACAGCTTCTGTTCAAATTTGAATTTCGGCGCTGTCACTACTGCGCAGACTCCACATTGTCAACGGATCACTTAGAGCCAATCAAAATCACCGAGAGGGGTCGTGACCGGTGTTGTGCCAAAGAATGACTTCCGGTGTTTCTGTGTGTGTTTTATGTTTGCTCAGATTATAAACTAATCTGCAGTCAACAGGGTTTACGAAGGTGTTACATATAAAATAAAGAAATGGCCTGTTTTGCGGGTATCTTTATTTTACATACTGTGTTCTACATTATATTTGATTCAGCCCTTTTTGACCACTTAAAATATTCTGAAATTATCGTTATGTTAATTTTTGTTTTTGCTATTTTTGCTGCCCTCTTGGTCCGATCTCTTTTGGAAAAGAAATATTTTCACGTCAACGAGTTGAATGTAAATATATATATTCATTAATAACATAAAAGTTGCTTTGCAAAAGAAAAAAACATTGCAGTTTCTACCTTGTGACAAAAATATTGTTTCTGGCTTTAAACATTTGTAATTTACGATCGTTTAAATGTCGCCAATCAAAATTTTGGAAAATGTCGGAAATTGCTTTTTTGGCAGGAATTACAATCCTGTTTACGTTTTCGCAAGAGGAAAAAACAAAAACATAATTCATGCCAAGTTCCCGGTACTACAGAGTCATGCATTCTTGTATCATGTATCACCAGCAGCACGGCTTCGTTGTTGGATTCAAAACCCGCTGCAGCACATTCATGGACGGAGCCTGCTCAGTGCTTTGGCTGCGGCCAGGGCTGGACTGAGACATAAAATGGGCATTTTGACTAGAGACCGGCCCACCGGGTATTTATAGGAAAAGCCATAAAGCCTTTGAATGAAAACAAACGCTGCTGTGACAGTGATGTACA